AAAAAAAAAAAAAAAAAAAAAAAAACAAGCAAACAAACAAAAAGGATTCTTACAAATATAAGGGATATATAATAGTACAAATATATAATTATATCATTTACCAATTTCACAAATATATATTATGATTGCTACAATTAAAGCTATCAAAATAAACATTTAGAATAAAAACAGCTTTAAGATATTTTTATGTTATTTGTATAACTAATGAAAAATGATATAAATGATAAAAAGCAAATTTAAAGACAAGTAACGTCTTCTAAATAAAAACGTACTTAATATGTTGACCTTTGCAATTACATTCTTCAGTGTTTGTCGTACCAGCACTTTAACAGTTAAATCCACATATTTAACTACATTTGATTAGCATTTAAGTACTTTCACTACATTACCTTATTGTATTCTAAGAATCACTCTGAAATAAAGAGAATATTTTTAAACTTCTAAAACTTGACCACATAAAACAAATTTTTGCTACATTTGCACAGAGCACTGTGCCTCCTATGTTGCACTGCAGTCAGTGAAACTTAAAATATTAATATACAGTAACTAAAAATTTAGAATTTTTGGCCAGGCATGGTGACTCAGCCTATAATCCCAGCACTTTGGGAAACCAAGGCAGGCAGATCACTTGAGATTAGGAGTTTGAGACCGGCCTGGCCAACACTGTGAAACCCTGTCTCTACTAAAAATACAAAAAAATTAGCCAGGTATGGTGGCACGTGCCTGTAGTGCCAGCTACTCAGGAGGCTGAGGCAGGAAAATCACCTGAACCCAGGAGGCAGATATTGTAGTGAGCCAAGATTGTGCCACTGTACTCCAGCCTGGGCGATAGGGTGAGACTCTGTCTCAAAAAAAAAAAAAAAAAAATGAAAAAAAGAATAGAATTTTTAAAATAGTAGGGATAATAATATATAATTATCTTATTTTTTAAAATCAGTAAGGTACTTTTTTTACCCTTAATGTAAAAAACAAAGAATGAAATTGGGAGATATCACTTAATAAAATGCTTTCCACTGTCATTTAGCAGAAACTGCCTAAACAAAAGCCAGGAAACTAACCTAAGTCATCTTACACCCAGAGAAATGTATTGGGACCATCACTAAAAATTTACCTCATTCTCTGCTGTTCACAGAGTGAAAAACTTCTATATCCCAAACATTTGTTAATAGTCATGTATGTTATCATGTTAGGAAAAAGAAAGTATTAACCATCTCTTTATACCTGTTTCAATAAAGTAAAGATACTCCCACTAATTAGAAACTTACGAAGAACATAATACTAAAAGTGAATTACTTTAGTTAAAAAAAATAATATTAAAGGAAATAATAGATTAGGGGTGAAAGAATGAGAAAAAGATTTTTATTTAACCTTAAGTATTGAATGTCTACATCGCCCAAATTCATTCAATAATTATTCAAATATTTTTACCTAATTTTAGCTTTTAATATTCATTAATTGGGTAACAAAAATACATATAAAAAAGAATTAGTAACTTCAATCCCTAAACCAAGAACACTTTTTAATATATGCTTCACAGATTATATTTATATAAATTTATTCTACATATAAAATAAAAGATGAAAACTTACTTTCACCCTCCTAATAGCATAGGTATGACCAAGAAGTTCAAACACTGGTTGCCGTACATTCCTTAAGTCCCAGCCTCTCAAACTACAGTCAACTGCCCCCGTCACCAGCAAATTCTAAAAACAATTTAGAGAAAAATAAACTGTGACATCTTTGCAGAGCAGTATGCAGGCTTTCCTACCAGAAACAACATCTACTTTCTGATTATTATTTAATACGAACCCAGGAGTCATTTTTGAGAAGCTGTATAACGAGTATAAACATTAATAGCAAAAAATTAATATGACCTGTGAGAAAAAGAACTCAACATGCTTTAAGTACATGATGGAACACTACACACAACTGAAAAAGGCATAGTTCCAAATAGCATTGTGGATTTTCTAATTCACCTTTAGCAGTGGCAGTAAGTACCTAAGAGATTGAAAATTTTATCTGACAAATGAACCCAGCTTTCTCTTCAAAAGGTTTTCGCTGGAATCCCAGCACCTTGGGAGGCAAAGGTGGGAAGATCACTTGAGGCCAGGAATTTGAGACCAACATGGGCAACAAAGCAAGACCCTGTCTACACAAAAAATTAAAAAATTAGCCAGGCGTGATAGCACACACCTGTAGTTTTAGCTACTTGAGAGGCTGAGTGAGGCAGGAGGATTGTGTGAGCCCAAGAGTTCAAAGCTACAGTGTGCTATGATCGCCCCACTGTACTTCAGCCTGGATAACAGAGCAATATCCTATCTCTAAAAAAAAAAAAAAATTAAAAATTAAAAAAGGTTTTCAAGGCCAGGTGCAGTGGTTCACTCTTATAATCCCAGTACTTTGGGAGGGCGACGCCGGCAGATCACTTGAGCCCAGGAGTTTGAGACCAGGCTGGGCAACATGGTGAGACCCCGGCTCTAAAAAACAAACCAACAAAAATTTCAACATAGTCTGAGGTTTTTCCAGGCATTAAAAGGCAAGAGGTCTGTTCATTTAGGGACATCTGAAAAAGGATGGGCTACGAATTAAATTTTTCCATGTTCTCTAAATCAAAATTAATCAGTTTCCAACTCTCTTGGACCAAGTCTTAATACAATATCTAATCATATCCAAGAATGTAATCAAATAGTGGTGAGTCTATCTAGCCCGGCTTTACAAATTCTGCTATCTAGAACCCCAAGTGAACCCAGAGGTCCTGGTTGAACAGGCCAAATGCTGGGTCTACACTCAGTCCACCCCATATAACCCAGAACAACAATGTATCCAGTTGGTGCAATGTATTTAAGTTATTGCCATTACTTTCAATGGCAAAAACTGCAATTGCTTTTGCACCAACCTAACACTGTCTGAATATGTTGGGCTTTAGTGTAAGCTAATTTGAAGAAAAGTTTCAGTGATTAGAAAATAATTTTTATAAACCACTCTCAAATGTCTATCAGCATCTTTCTTTAGAATTCCCAAACATCTAATATATGGGCCATAATTAATTTTCCAATATGAAAAATTCATTTATGAGTCTGAATCTGTAGTCATCAGCATTGAAATGTTTAGAATGAGTAACATCATTTCATATGTACTATATTTACTTTTAACTTATTTTTATTTAAAGAACTCTGCCAATATACTGCTCTTTTAACTGTAATTAATTTAAAACTGGGAAAAAAGCAAAGCGTACATTTTACCTATTTGTCACAGTCAACAGACCACTTCAGGGACATAAATACAGTCATGCATCACTTAATGATGGTCCCTATCATTAAGTGCTTTGAGAATTACCTATGCTTTGAGAAATGCAGCATTAGGTAATTTCATCTTTGCGTGAACATCACAGAGTGTTTACACAAACCTAAATGGTACAGCCTACTACAACAGCTAGGCTAGATGGTACAGCCTATTACTCCTAGGCTACAAGCCTATACAGCATGTTACTGTACTGAATACTGCAGGCTACTGTTCTGTATCCAAACATAGAAAAGGTACAGTAAAAATATAGTATGGAAGATAAAAATGGCAGTAGGGCCCTTACCATGAATGGAGCTTACAAAACTGGAAATTACTCTGGGTGAGTTAGCGAGTGAGTGGTGAATGAATGGGAAGGCCTAGAACATTACTTTACGCTAAATTTATTTTTTGAATTTTCTTTTTTTTTTTTTTTTTTTGAGATGGAATCTTGCTCCGTCACCGGGCTGGTGTGCAGTGGCACGATCGCGGCTCACTGTAACCTCTGCCTCCTGGGTTCAAGCAATTCTCCTGCCTCAGCCTCCCAACTAGCTAAGACTACAGGCACACACCATCAAGCCCAGCTATTTTTTGTATTTTTAGTAGAGATGGGGTTTCACCATATCGGCCATGATGGTCTTAATCACTTGATCTCATGATCCACCCACCTTGGCCTTCCAAAGTGCTGGGATTACAGGCGTGAGCCACCATGCCCGGCCAATTTCCTTTCTTCAATAATAAATTAACTTAGCTTACTGCAACTTTTTTGCTTTGTTAAACTTTCTAATTTTTTTTAACTTTTTGACTCTTTATAATAACAAAACTTAAAACACAAATACATTGTGCAGCTATACAAAATATTTTCTTTCTTTATATCTTTATAAGCTTTTTTCTATTTTTAAATTGTTTTTAACTTTTTAAACTCATTTGCTAAAAACTAAGACACACACACATTAGTTTAGGACTACACTGAGTCAGAATTATCAATATCACTGTCTTCTACCTCCACATCTTGTCCTGCTGGAAAGTCTTTGTGGGCAATAGGAATTTTTCAGATCCACTATAATCTTATGGGCCCTGTCATATATGCAATCTGTCACTGGCCGAAATGTTGTTATGCAGTGCATGACTACAGTACATTAACACATATTTAATCCATTGCTATCTCTAATTCATATGTTCATGTGGTTAACTAAAGCTTTAAAAAAGTTGCACATGGACGCTTATCTTACAGAGGCATGAAAATTGGTTAGGCTTAAAAAGGAAGATGAAATAGAAAAATTTAAAAACTGATGGACTGTCAAATTAAAAATCAAGTTACAAACAGCTCAACAGCCTGACTAGCAAGGTGAAAAAGAAATAAAAGCAAAAGATGATACAAAATTGCAGGGTTAAGAGCAATAAAGAAAAAAATTACATAAATTGGTAAGGCAGTTTCCCAAAACAAGCAAGTAAGGCTGCACTGTTGAACTTTGAGAATTTCTGTTTCTTATTTTGCCTGTTTTATGAGCACTTAAATCCAATTAATGCAAATGCAGGTCAGTCACAATCATTAATTAGAAAGGAAAGGGACAGAATTTAACTTAATGGTCCAGAAACACCACCAAAGTCCACATAAACAAAGATAAATAAAATTTAGAACATTTTAACATTAGGAAGGACAGAAGCTCAGGACAGAGCCATATACTATACCTCATTGTATTTACACCAGTCACAACTCAAGATTTCTGCCTGATGTGCTGGAATCACGATTCTGACTCCTGCTGCTTTCACATCCCATATTCTCAGAGTCTGATCACCTGGTAAAAAAAAAAAAACGACTTGATCATTTCCCGTCACACCACTTGAATGTGCAGTGACGTGTTAATAACGATAAGTCAAGTAAAAATACACTGCTTTGACTGTTAGGATATTGCCACCTTTAGACTTATTTTTTAAACCATAATAATATATAAGAACTATTCAAATGAGGGAATGTAAAAGTAATGTTGCACCGTGATAATGCTTTAAGGAGGAAAACTGAATCTCACAGAGATAAACACAATATTGACTAAACACACACCACACCTGGTACATTTGTCTTTAAGGCAGGAAAGGCCCTGAAAATTCTCCTGTTAGGAAATAAGTAATCACTCTGTATCAGCGTATTGTACTAGAAACCAACAACAGAGTAACAGTGTTACTGCTAAAGGCAGGCAAAGTCTACCAAGCCAAAGTGGAGAATTTTTACTTTTCATTTTTCAAGTATACTGTATTTTAGTGGACAAGCTACAGGTGTATTTTTTCTACAAAAAAAAAAAAAAAGAAAGAAAAGAAAGAAAAAAGAAAGCTACAAACATTTATTTATTTATTTTATTTTATTTTTTGAGACAGAGTCTTGCTCTATTGCTCAGGGTAGAGTACGGTGGCGTGATATCAGCTCATTGTAACCTCCACCTCCTGGGTTCAAGCAATTCTTGTGCCTCAGCACCTTCCCCAAGTAGCTGGGATTACAGATGCATGCCACCTTGCCCAGCTAATTTTTGTATTTTTAGTAGAGACGGGTTTCAGCTGGGTACAATGGCTCATGCCTATAATCCTTGCACTTTGGGAGGTCAAGGTGGGCAGATCACCTGAGGTCAGGAGTTTGAGACCAGCCTGGACAACATGATGAAACCCCACCTCTACTAAAAATACAAAAAATTAGCCAGGTATGATGGTGGCCACCTGTAATCCCAGCTACTTGGAAGGCTGAGGCAGAAGAATCACTTGAATCTGGGAGGCGAAGGTTGCAGTGAGCCAAGATGGCGCCACTGCACTCCAACCCAGGCAACAAGAGCAAAATTCCACCTCAAAAAAAAAAAAAAGAGAGAGAGAGAGAGAGAAGGGATTTTACCATTGTTGGCCAGGCTGGTCTCAAATTCCTGACTTCACGTGATCCGCCCACCTTGGCCTCCCAAAGTGCTGGGATTACAGGTGTGAGCTATCGCACCTGGCCAACAAGCTAAAAACATTTAAAGATTACACTTTGCATTATTACAAAAATAGTTTGCATTACTTAACTGCACGGTCACCCTGATTAAATATTTTATATGTTGTTTGCCTCCAATTTTTCTAAACTATAAGGAAACGAAGGATGACAGGATGAATAAAATCCAGAATACATATACCTACCTCAAAAGTAAAATATAAACAACTGATGATAGGAGAAAACCAGTTCCACGTAAACAAACACGTAGTTTCTGGCATGATAGCAGGTGGGGTCTTGAATCCCATTTTGTGGTTATAGGACCCTGAATAGGATATGTAATATCTCTGAGACTGATTCCTCATTTCTAAAAGAGACACAGAATGCCTAACATGCAGTGCTGTCTAAGAATTTAATCAAGTTTCTGTAAAGCACCTGGCATGGTCTCTAACACACAGCAGACACTGCCAAATATGGTATATAAAAACACTAAAGTTTTAAAGAATCTTTTACTCATCTACATATATTTTCCTATATTTCTAATTCTAAATCATATATTGTTAAGCTAAATTTAGCTATCCTAGGCAATTTTTTTCTGGCTTCTTTGGAAGTTGCTTAAGAAAGATTAGAAATGTGTTGGCAGTAATGAAATGCTGAGATTAAGAACAGGGCCTTTGGAGTTCTGGAGCTTGGTTCTAATCCAGCTCAATCGTTCAGTGGTCACTGATGCTTAATCAAGTTACTTTGCTGATCTTCAGTTTCCTACCTACAATAAAATAACTGTCTTGTAAGGCTGAAATGAGACAAGGTAGTAGTGTGAATATGGTACCAGATAAGCAGTAACCCCTCAGTGTTTTCTTTTTTTAATGAGAAAAAAAATCCATGATTACAAGTTATTTCTGTCCCCTAATAATAACATAAATAATAGCTAATATTTATTAAGTGCTTCCAGTGTGCCACATACTATTCTAGGCATTTTATACATATTTTTCTAAAAACATCACAACGATATAAAGTAGGAATTTGGATATATATATAAATAATTGTATAGTAATATACAAATGAGGAAACTGCAGCAGATAGAGATGAAATAACTCACCCAGGATAGTAAGCAATAGAAGCAGGACCTGGAACCAGAACCCAGGCAGTCTGGGTCCCCAGCGTGTGCACTTTACAACTTTACAACTACAGTACGCTGCTGCCTCCTTGTGTTGCTGGAGGACAAATGCCAAACAATCAATGCTGGCTGATTCTGGGGGAATTATTTTAATTTCCAGGAAGGAGTGCAGTGGTGCAATCTCAGCTCACTGCAACCTCTGCCTCCCAGACTCAAGCAATCTTCCCACCTCAGCCTCCCGAGTAGCTGGGACTACAGGTGCACATCACCATGCCCAGCTAATTTTTCTATTTTTGGTAGAGACGGGTTTGCCATATTGGCCAGGCTGGTCTCCAGCTCCTGAGCTCAAGCAATCCACCCGCCTCGGCCTCCCACAGTGCTGGGATTATAGGCATGAGCCACTGTGCCCAGCCCTATGTTACTTTTTCTATAAACTGGAGAAAAATCTCTATTATTTTTTCAATACCACTTCCCATCCTCCCTGCCCAGAGGCCACAACAGTCAAGTCCACAGCCCTTTAGTCTGCATTTTGGTTAATACTTTTATTACATTTCAATGGATCCACAAATATTGACTACTCCTTTGTATGTAGGATTTTTTTCCTTTTTTGATTTAAAAATACTGTCTCGCTACGTTTTTTAAAAAAGGTTGAAAACCACTTTGATAGATAAGAGTAATGAACATTTTTGGACCTAGCTAAGGATGGTACCACCGTCCATAGTACCTTATTCCTTGCTCTGACCACATCTGACAGGTCAAAGGGGGGTATTTGGGATTTTTCTGAACTTCAACTGAAAAAATAATGTCAGTCCTTCTTCTATGGCAAAATTTACAAATTATAAAATTCAGGACCCATTGGTGACAACATATCTCATTGTGAAAAAGGAATGATGAGTTTGAAAGTACCAAAAGGAAATTGTTCAGGACTGGTATAGGTTAGAGTTTCAAATAACTCCAAGGGCCCTCATTATAATCACTGTCTGTGGTCTAGCCCCCAGTCAGTAAAATTTGTTCCCAGAATGCCAAATAGCTTGGATGAAATGATCTCTCATGACTTTCTCCAGCCTTCAGTGTATAATGCAGGGTGACGTGGATGTCTATTGTTTGGTCTGCCCAGCAACACCCTTTTCCTAGGAAGAGCATGTTCTTTTCTCACCAAGTGATTCTGTAAAGACTTACACCTCAACACAATTGACTGGCCAAAGGCAGGTCCAGGCAAGGCCAAACGCAGTACCTCATTCCCCGCACTGACTACAGCTGAAAAGGTCAAAGGTAGGTACTTGGGATTTTTCTAAACTATAACTGAAAAAATAATGTCTGTCCTTCTCCTATGGTAGCATTTACAACTTATAAAATTCAGGAGGCTGGGCATGGTGGGTTACACCTGTAATCCCAGCACTTTGAGGGGCTAAGGCAAGAGGACTGCTTGAGTCCAGGAGTTTGAGACCAGCCTGAGCAACATAGCTAGACTCTGTTTCTACAAAACATTTAAAAATTGGCTGGGCATGGTGGCACACACCTGTAGTCCCAGTTACTCCAAAGGTTGAGGTGGGAGCATTGCTTGAGTCCAGTAGGTCGAGGCTGCAGTGCGCCATAACTGCAATACTGTACTCCAGCCTGGGTGACAGAACAAGACCCTGTCTCAAAAAATAGAAAAATATGGCCAGGGGCAGTGGCTCATGCCTGTAACCTCAGCACTTTGAGAGGCTAAAGCAGGTGGATCACTTGAGGCCAGGCATTTGAGACCAGCGTGGCCAACATGGCAAAACTCTGTCTCTACTAAAAATACAAAAAAAATAAATTAGTTAGGCATGGTGGTACATGCCTGTAATCCCAGCTGCTCAGGAGGCTTGGGTACAAGAATTACTTGAACCCCAGAGGTAGAGGTTGCAATGAGCTAAGATCACGCCACTGCACTCCAGCCTGGGCAATGGAGACAGATTCTGTCTCAAAAAAAAAAAATGTATATATATATATATATATATATATATATATATATATATATATATATATATATATATATATATATATATATATATATATATATATATATATATAATTATATATAAAAATTATTATATAGATAGATAGATAGATATAGATATAGATAGATAGATTCATGAGCTACTTGGTGGCCACATGTCTTACTGTGTGGAGAAGCCAGTCTGCAGAGTCAGGTGAACAAGTAGGGAAAAGTCCAGATGAGAGACAGAACATGACCTGGGGCCTTTCAAGCAGCCCTTCCCTTTCTGGGATATGCTTTTTAACAAATTTTGCAAAGATCTAACATAGTCCCAGTTCTATCACTTGTAGGCAAAGGAAATTACTCACTATCATAAGGGAGTGAAGGATATTCTCCTGAGGCTTCAGTCTCCTGAAGCTAGCTCCAAAGAAAACCATTTGATTAAGCGCCAGGCTTCCATTAAAATATACAAAATGGCTAAATAATATATACTAGCTTTCAGGAATTTATATCTAACACTAGGTTGAAACCATAAACTCTGCTATAGCTATAGCATTGTCTCAAGATCAATAAGCTTGGGTTCACCCTAATAATATATGAGTATGTGAATTGATTTAAAGTACCAAAAGAGGCCAGGCATCGTGGCTCACACCTGTAATCCTGACACTTTGGGAGGTCAAGGTAGGCAGATCATTTGAGTTCAGGAGTTCCAGACCCACCTGGGCAACCACACAATCCTGTCTCTACAGAAAATACAAAATTAGTCAGGCTTAGTAGCATGCACCTGTAGTCCCAGCTACTCGGGAAGCTGAGGTGAGAGGATTACTTGAGCCTAGAAGGTGGAGGCTGCAGTAAGCTGAGATTGTGCCACTGCATTCCAGCCTGGGTGACAGAGCCAGACTCTGTCTCAAAAAAATAAAAATAAAAAAATTTACAAGTACCAAAACATTATAGTGAAAGCGGACTAGGAGATTACGAACTATTATTGTAGCACTAATATGAATGAGTCTCACAAAAGATAATGCTGTGAAAGAAACCAGACACAAAGGTATGAAAATAAGTAACATGAATCCATGTTATTGGAAGGCCACAGTGGTCACCTGGGGTGGGAGGTGGTGAGAAATGACTACAAGGATGGGAAGAGGCCCTCTGGGAATGTTCTGTATCTTCATCTGGGTGCCAGTTACAAGGATGTGTTCATTGTAAGAATTTGCCAAATTGTATGCTAAGATTATGTACTGTTCAATATGTGTATTATGCTTCAACAGAAGATTAAACAACACAACAACAAAGGTTATATCTCAGGCACAACAGTTCTGTTCCATACCACCGTTTTCATGCAATATTTAAAAAAA